AGGAGGGAGGAGGGCGAAACGAGTACCTTAATATCGCTACGGCCCGGGGGGGTAGCGGTGGCCTTTGGCGCTTGTCCTGCCCCTCGTTGTTTCCCTGCCGCCGTCCCTGTCAGCGGCCTCGGGGTGTGCGTCGCTGTGAAACGGCGCTGGCGAGTTTTGGCAAACTTCACCCTGTTCTTGGTTGTTTGGGTTTTTGCCTTCGGCTCAGGCACACAGGACGGTACGGGTCGCATGTTTGGAACTCAAGTAGTTTCAAGCTCCATCTTGGGTTAGCAGATTTAATTAATTGGCAAAGTGCTATGCACTTATGTTAAACCGTCATTTCACTAAGTACTAATAAAACACTCAGCATAAGAATATGGTGCAGTTTATGGTTAATTAATGAAAGGAAATTTAGATTGCAGTCATTGTCTCCTGACTTGATGGACCACAGGATTTAATTCTTTGTCTGTAGTGTTTCAGTGTTCTTTTATTGTCCTTCCAGGGATTAGCTTAAGCCTGAAACATCATTGCTTTGACTAGCTCGCTCCTGCAGGATGCCACACAAGATCGGGTTTATAGTTGTTAGTTCATCGGGACACGAAGATGGCTTCAGCGCGAAAGAGCTGATGGTGCATGCACCGACAGTGAACGGCTGGCGATCGCCCAGGTACTGCGAGCGGGGGGTGGGCATAGTTCGGAAATGCTGAGTTTAAAATGAGTGGGAGATGTACCATGCGTGGTCAGAGTAGTTTACAGCATCCCAGACCAAACTGATGATAAACCCCAAAAAGTTATCGTAGTCCCATGGAATGCTTATCCTGGGGAAAAGCAGCGCCTTGTTGCCACCTAAAGGCATGGCATTGCATTTAAATAAAATCCTTTAAAAGAAAAAAGGGAACTATTTTTGTTCTTGTCAGTTGTCTTGCAGTTTGCAAATACTTTGGCTTAGTATTAAAAATTCTCAGCACACCTTCTGGATAGGTGTGGGGCACTTTAACATCCACACACATGTGGTAAAGCGAAGAGTGTTTCTACTCTACTCCTTGGTTTCTTTTTACAATATTTGCAATGCTAATTAAGCTGTATGAATTAAGCTAGAACAGCTTTGGAAAGTTTCATAATGAAATGTTACTCAAGTTGGAAGTGCTTCACTTTAAAAAGTCGATTCTGAAATCGTGTGTGTTTTCAGACTCTGTCAGTATCCCCAGGAAATTGTTCTGCAGTTGGTGGAGAGATGTCGAATACGAAAGCTGCAGTTGCTTGCTCACCAGTACATGATTTCAAGCAAAATTGAGTTCTACATCAGCGAAAGCTTGCCTGAATACTTTGCTCCTTATCAATCAGAGAGGTTTCACCGACTAGGGTAAGTAAAAGATGGTTTTATTACCTGAATCAGAAAGGCCTCAGGAGGAAATAATATTCATTATGCTTTGCATGCAACATCGCTACGCTGTGCTGCGGGCAGTAAAGAGGTTCCGCGCTTGCTTGGATCTGTAACAAAGCTGAAGATGTAGGCGTGAGAGGCGTGATGCAGATGAACACTCTTGTCAGAAGACAGCACATGTTGTTTTGGTTATGAAGGAGTTTTAAACCTTATTCAAGTTCTAACCCAAGGAGCAAAAATATAGCTGCGTAGTTGTACATTTCTCCTGCTTACTTGTTACATTTTCCTTCTCAGTTACGTCCCTCTCTCGGACAATGAAAAGACGGATTTCAAAGCGCGAGAGTTAAAATCTGTGTATATGGATGCAGTTGGCCAGTACCTGAAGCTGATTTTCCATAAAAATTATGTCAATAAATATAACTTATACAGTCAGGTAAGTTGGGAGTCCTTACTCAATAAGCTAGGTGAAGTTTCAGTAGTGCAGAACAGGCATAGAAATCTGCTCCCTTGATTTGTAGAAGCTAAAAATGTTGCTTGAAAGCTCCTGGATTTATTTTTGGTTTCTTTTAAAAATGAAAATACAAATAAGAGGTTTTAAGTGACTTGGAGTCATGACCAAGCGCACACAACTTATCCGGAACAAATGAGTCAAGTGCACATTCCGTCACTGCCTTCCATTCGGAGTTTTAGACTGCGCAGCAGGCTCTGTGCCAAAGACCAAGTACTTCCTCTGGGAACAGTGTTGCGGTTGCTCCAAAGCCGCTCTTAGTCTCTAGGAGCTGATGTGGCATGAAGTGAAGGGCTCATACAGCCATCCTGACAGAGAAAACGATGATACCTGCCTCAGTTCTGCAGCGGCTCTTTTCACTTCCATCCCAGAAAAGGGAACAACTGATGACAGTAAATGTGGTCTATAGATACAGTAACACATTTTTAAGGAAGCGTGAAGTACATTTAGCACTTAGTGCTTTGGTTTGCTTCCATGCCACCCTGGAGACCACAGGTCCTTTTTTTTGTTGTTGTTCATTTATTTTGTTTCACCTTTTATAAGATACAGAAAAAGTAATGACCTTACACATTTACGTTTTCTTTAAATCTATCCCAGGTTGCCCTAGTAGCTATAAACATTATTGGAGACCCAGCAGACTACAGTAATGACAGCAATAACACTGTAAGTGCGAAGCATCCCTGTCTTTTTACTGTTGCTACGCGCGTTCAGTTACAGGGTTCTTAGGGTAATGGAATGCATCTTTCTTCTGCTAGAGTTTTGTGCTGTAGCAAAGCTGCCACAAATTGATTTGTTATTTTTTTAATGTTATCTCAAAGCAAGAAAGCTCTCAAAAGTTGACCGTAATTTGTGGGTCCAAAAATAAGACATTATCAATTGGAACATTTGCGTTTTCAGCCTCTCCAAGTCCTCTTGTTTCAATATGTTCCAAAACATAAGGACTATAAGTTGCATAGCTTCTGTTGATTGTGGCAAGACAGGATTTCTGTCCCGAATGCATGCTTGATGTTGATGAATGTGCATTAAGATATCTTTTTTTCTTTCCCCCCCCCTACAAAGCCTTCAAGAGAGAAGCTGATAGACCACTACTTAGGAATTAAATCAGATGATCCTGCCTTAGATGGAACTTACCTTGGGTAAAGATGTTGTTTTGCACGTACCTTGGCAAAATGTCTACTCAGTCTAAAGTAGTTTCAGCTTCTAGATTTTGCTAGCTCCCTGCTAGTAAAAAGAGAAGAGGTATGCTCAGCCTCGTCCATTTTGGGTTACCTGAAAGTTTGTTTTATTCATTTTGTATCTTCAGGAAACCTGACTCCATTTCACCTCTGGATGATTTGGCTTTTGACATGTACCAGGATCCAGAAGTTGCTCAGATAATACGTAGGCTGGATGAGATGAAGCGTGAAGCTGTCCGTCATGAACGCTATGATTACGCCAAGAAACTCAAACAAGCTATTGCAGACTTGCAAAAGGTATCATTGAAAGACTGTTTCTTAAGCCAAACAATGCTCCAGTGGTCCACCAGGGACCTTCGTGTTCATACGGAATCATAATGATTCCCAGTGTATTTTCAAAATAGTAATTTTAAAATCTGAGAGCTCGATTTAATAACTTGACTGGAAAGACTGAAACATAGGCATGTGTACAGTAATGCGATTCCAAGCTAGCTTGTTATACTGTCTTCTAGGTAGGAGAGCGGCTTGGACGGTATGAGGTGGAGAAGCGCTATGCTGTAGAGAGAGAGGATTATGATCTTGCTAAGAAGAAGAAACAGCAAATGGAAGCGTACCGCCTGAAGGTGTATCAGCAGCTGGAGCTCCACGACCTTCTGGATGCAGAGCTGATGGTGGGTGCTCTTATTCCCATTCAGGAGGCTTTATCGTGTCGTAAGTAGAACTGGCAGAGCAGCCACAGTAAGTTCAGGGAGTAGGAGTTGTCACACAGGTATTTTGTGACAATTACATAATGATTTGAAGTTTTCTGTTTGGATTGTGGATTTCCCTAACTGAAGGGTTGCATGTGGCATGTTACGAACATGCTTAGTTTTCCATAAATTACATGAAAGTGCTGTGGTCTCAAGCAAGTGACATTAGCATCCTGAATGTTTTGCATAATTTCAGGACTACTCAATGTAGATTCGTAGGGTACTTTCTCATATTTTGAAGGGGTATAAGAAGCTTTTGCTGTTAAGCCTCATGGCTAACCATACAGAATTCATGTGACAAAATACAGTTTTATGTTGTTCTCAGAACAGGAAGCTGTAATCTCTCCACACACACACACCCCCACGTAGAATTATTTTCCAATTGTTTCATAAAGCTGCATCCAGTGGAAATGGTTACATGTCTGTGAGCGAGGTCCGGTATTTACTGGAAAACAGCAGAATCTTGTTGACTGTCAGGGTTGCAGCTGTATTAACTGTGATTTTAGTACATTGTTGGCCTTGCTTTACAAACTCTCCTTCCCTTGCTCAGATTCGAAAACCACCTGAATTGCCTGTGGAGTCTCTGATTTATACTGACAATCCTCAGCGCACAAAAGCTGCAAATTCACCTCCTTGTGAGCACAGAGAACAGCAAAAAAGAGAGCCGTGGAGACCACAGCCTTCACTGGAAGAGAAGTCCGCAGATCTCACTTGTGCCGAGCCTATTGTTCCCCATCGATCCCCTCCTCCTCCCGTGACTCATCCCACAACCTCCGGGGAAGTGTTTCTCAGAGGAAACGTGAGTACTGTACCTCTGCTACTGCAGAAATCTGTGGGAGCAAATGATCTTGTATTCAACCTTCCAAAACAACAAGGTCTCTTGTGGTTGTTCTCATGGCTTGTATGCTATCTGAATTTAGCTGTGTTACTGAGCAGTGCCTATTGTATCATTGGCATTGGTCTTTCTCTTTCCTGAATTTCTTTGGAAGCTTTCACAAATGTTTATTGCAATTGAGGCAAAAAGGGATTATACCTGCTTTACAAACAGGTGAATGGAAGGAAATAGATACTCAATGACTAATCAGAGGGCATGCAGCCAGTAGAGTGGAAGCCGAATTCTGCTTGCTCCACTGATGGCCACAGCAGCAAGCAAATTTGCTGGAATGTGGTTGTAGGGTAAGAGTCTCACTGTCACCCTACAGTGAGAGGGGAAGAAAACCATGGTTTCTAGTTAGCCTGATCTTTAGGTTTTGCTGCTCCAGCTTTTGGCAAAGTTAGGGAAGACTTGCATCGCCTCTAGTAGCAGTAGTGTTCTCTCTTAACAGGATGTTGACTTAAACTAATTTAACAAAAAAGGCTTTATGATTTGCTGGCTTCCTATCAACAAGTAATTTCTTCTGTGGATGCATGTGCTTCCGCAAGAGGCATTGTGTGTGTGTCTTATTCTATAGACAAGAATAAGTTTTATTCACAGGCACTGATTCCATTTCTTCATGCTGTTGTTAGGGGAACTTCAACATCTGTACTTAATTGTCAGGCGATACTGTTTTGACAGGGGGAAAAAAATGGATTGAGAGGAATCCAATTAGCGGTGAAACAACTTCCCATTGAAGTCATTTCTAGAATGGCAAATTTGTCTTCTCTGTTAGGTTGAATTTTTACCTTATGATGAGAGACCTCTTCCGGCTGCCTGTAAACAGTCTGATGAAGCAATTCCGTACCTTGAGCCGGAGAGGACTGAAGAGGAGATCAATGATACTCCAAGCGGTGGCATTACTGGGGAACCAGAGCCGTTGACTGAGAAGGCACTGAGGGAGGCCAGCCCTGCTATTGAAGTTTTTGGAGAAGCTTTGGTAAAGAGCAATGAAATAAATGCATAGATTGTTGTGATCTGTGTTGAGTTGATTTGATATGCGCTCTGTCAGCAAAGACCTACTGATACGGCTTTTATGTGTTCAGAGCTGTTACTTCAAAATCTGAGATGGAAATTTGGCCTTGGATACGTGGGTGCCTGTTTTCAGCATTAAGGTGATGCTGTAGCTGTTTTGATTGATTACTTGATGAGCTGTTAAGCAGATAGTGTCCATTAGACTGCTTTAGGCTACGGACCCGAACAGAATACCTGTAACTTGCCACTGTGAGTGGTCTTTTGTAGGGAGGGAAACCATTACTGTGTCTGAAATGGTTCTGTGAGCCTGACCATTGATGATTGATCCATTTTACTCATTGTTTTTCCAAAATATGTGCAGAAGCACCTCTTTTAGTAAAGGCCACATTCCTGTAGCAATCATCTGGGGATTTCACACTTAAGTTCATATGTGCTTTTGAGGCTGTTTCTGTATATACATGTTGAATAAATGTTGAAATACCAGCATTGACCTTTTAAGAGAGAAACTTGTTCTGCGTTCAGGTTTCAGGAGCATATTCCAAAACGTGGTCGTATCGTGAAGATGCGTTACTGGCTGTATATAAGAAGCTGATGGAGACATCAGTAAACACTCCGAAGGACGATTTAAAGAACATGCTGAGGGCTGCCATTTTTCTTGTAAGAAGAGCCATCAAAGACATAGTGTCTTCAGTAAGTTGTGATATGTTTGATAAGAAATGCTTAGTGAAGAACAAACAGCAAAAATTGTAGAACTGTGTGGTTGACACGCTTTAAATAATTTAAACAAATAGTTTGTAAAACTACTTTTGACTAAGTTTTTAAAAAAACCCACAAAACCAAATGAAAACCGCAAACCCAGTGAAATGTCAGCTCTTAGTCAGGTTGAAGGGCTGGGCGCTATCAGGCATTCAGCAGCATGGAAAATCCTGCCCTGGGCCGAGTGATGCGCTTGAGAAACAACTCCTGACGCAGTATCTGCGTATTGTGGTTCAGCCTTTCCCCCCGCCCTTTTCTCCC